GAGAGAGAGAGAGAGAGAGAGAGAGATACAAGGATAAAAAGGGGAGAAAGGGACATCCCTGCCACCATTACCAAAAAACAAATACAGAAGAGAGGAGAGGAGAGAGTGAGCAGGAAACAGAATGAAAGACAAGAGACAGACATCAGTCATTCTGAGCTCCCATTAGGGTCCTGGCTCTGGGGGAGAAGGAGCTGGACAAGAGACTTGGGGTGGGGGAGCGTAAGGAAAAGGGGACTGAAGGTGCCTTCTAGAGGGCCCTGGGGTAGTCAGCTTCACCGCTTTTGTTGTTGTAAGCAGGGGGCACAAATCCTAGGGGACAGCAGGGCCTGCCACTGCAACCTTATCCCGTGAATTCCTCCTGTTCTGGACAAACCCTGGAGAACACCCTCTGGGGCACCAGATGGTTACACTGATGGAACTTTCCCTGTGTCTCCCACGCCCACTACACGCTTGGCGTCAGGGAAGCCCTGGGGTCAGTCAGACCTCAAGCATGGGCCCCTGGCCCCTGCGATTTAGATCTCCGCTTTGTCCTATGTAAACACACATGGGAAATGCGTGGCCTCGAGGGGGTGGCCGGGCCCAGCAGCCTACCTTCCTCTTGTGAAACCCTCACCTCCCAGCTCTCCATCCTCATCCCAGGCAGCTGCTGGCCACGGCCCTCTGGCCACACCCCCAGCCCAGAGGCTCACCTTCAGCCAACCCATGTAGAAGAAGAACTGCAAGAACGTGAAGACCGGCACAACAAGGTCCATCTCGTGGCCCGGGTAGGCCTTGGCCGGGTTCAGAAACTGCCGGCCAACCAGGCAAGCCAGGAAGAAGCTGTACACTGCCACGGTCACCACCTGGGAGGAGAAAGTGGAGGAGGTGGCACAAGAGGACTAGGAGGGACCCCGGGATCACACTGGTGAGCCTGGGTCTGTTCTCTCCTCTTTAACAGGTGTGACCACACTGCCTCTACCGGGCTGGGCCAGGCAAAAGCCTGGATGCCATGAGCTTGGCACTAGAGAAAACTTTCAAGGTGCAGCTCCAACTCCTGGAGGCAGCCTTTCGCTCAGCCTCTGAGTCAGTCAGCTTCCTGGGTCCTCCTAGCCTCCGTTTCCCAAAGAGCAGCCTCACCAGTCCAGTCCTCACCTGTGTGTACACCAGCGGGATACTGATCCAGTCATAGCCATACAGATGTCCACACTGAGTACGCAAGGTGCTCATCTCCTGAGGAACAGAGGAAAGGATGGGGTTCTGACCACAGCCTGCTCCCCCAGGTTCATCTCCACTTTTCCCCCAGATACCTGTGTCTGGTTTCTTAGTCCAGTCCTGGCTGTGTGGTTATGGACAGCTCACTAAACCTCTCTGGGCTCAGTCTCCTGTTCTAGCAAAAAAGGAACCAGCACCTCACAGGCTCACTTAGGGGATTGAAGGGATCTTGGGAGAAGGGCTCCCTCAGGCTGTAGAAAGTTGGAAAAGATCCTGCACCCCCATCCCAGGCTCTGGGAAGACTCAGGGGTTCCAGTTTTCCCCCTGTAGGAAACCTTGTTCTACCTAGGCCACAACCCTCCCCCCTGTGCACCCGCCCCATCTGTGTAGTGGGCTCACATTCAGCAGGCTCTGGAGCAGAACAGGGTCCCGGATTCGACCTGTAACCCAGGCCTTTGTGGACAGGTTGGCAAACCACACCCAGGGCACCCAGAACATATTGTGTGGCAAGCTCAGTTTTTCAAACTGCTTGTATTCCCCGTGGGTCATAAAGCCTGCAGAGTAGAGTGAAGAAGGCAGCAGGTGGGAGAACCGCAGAAGAGGTGGCCAGCCCCAGCCAGGCCCTGCTCAGCCCTTCGGCCCTTAGGCCGAGTTCCTTTGGAATCCTCTTTCTTTGAACACATAATCACTGGATGCCTGCAATGTGCTATTATGGACTAAGCATGGGAGAGAGGCCTGTTATTCACCAGAGACAGGTCAGGTACGGGCAAGGGCAAGGGGGAGGCCAAAGAACGATGCTCAGACCTCCAGACTGGAAACTGGAGATCAGATCAGAAGGGCAGAGTTCCCAAGTCCCCAGCCCTTCCCTTAGCTTTTTTAGGGTCTGTGACCCTACCTCAAACCCTTATCATCCAAGCGTTATGTTCTGGCCTCGCCCCACCTTCAAGCATCTGACCTGTTTAGTTCAGTCCCCAGGACCCCACCCAATCCTCCAGTTCAGGGAATTCTGGCTCCACCCATCTTCAGCTCCTGTCACTCCAGGTCTGGCCCCGCCCCTCCCCGCCCCGGAACTCCTGGCTCCGCCCACCTGCCTGCACTAAGTGTTGCAAGGTGGGGAAGCGCTTGTAGACCGCGGTGCTGATGCTGCGCAGCATGAGCACGTGGCCGAGGTTGACGTAGCGGATGAGCGTGCGCCTCAGCAGCCGGCCTTGCTCGTCCTTGCCCTCGACGAAGCCGGACACCTGGCTCATGATGCGGTCGGGCCACGGCAGGTTCTCGTACTGGTTCCACCAGCGGGTCACGACCAGCGTCACGTAGAAACCTGAGCAGGAGGGGCGAGGGGCGAGGGGCGAGCGGCTGGGCTGTGGCCAGAGGCCAGCGCCCGGTGATGCCTCGGTTTCTCCATCTTTCTAATGCGAGCGGGCCCAGCCCCGACCTTAATGGGAGGCTCTCGGGACAGGACGGCAGTCAGAGCCTCCCCGCACGGAGGCGCGAGAGCCCCTCGGGTCATCCGGCCCTGGGACCCCAGCCATCCGCCACCACCCGCGCCCTCCCTCCCCGCTGCGCAAGGCTCCCAGCGCGTCCCCGGCACCGCGCCTGCAGTGCCGCGGCAGGACGGCCTCCCCGCCGCCTGGCTTTAGTCTCCCTGTTGCAGTTCGCACGTGTCCCCGGCCTGCACGGAGCCACCCGGCCACTGGCCTGCCCCTCTCACTCGCAGCTCCTCTGGGTCCGCCCTGGGTCTGCCGCGAGCTGGGGCGGCCCCGGACCCCGCACGGCCGGAAGGGGGCGCTCACCCAGCACGAAGGAAACGGGGATGAGCTGGATGTAGCTGTCGCAATTCAAAGCCAGCTTCTCGAACAGCAGCTGCTGTTCCTCCGAGAGGGCCAGCCTGAGGGCGACACGGGGGTGTGCGCGCGCCGTGAGGAGGTGGCTGAGATGGCCACAGGTCCTGCCCAGGCCAGGGCCCACCTCCGGCCTGAGCCAGGACAAACCCCCGCAGGCCCCGGAGGCCCGCTCCGATGGCCTCTAGTGAGAATCCTCGCACCAACCCTCGGGAAGGAAGGGCTTGCTGAGGGTCAGTGTTAGGCATCAGGGACCCTTGTAAAGGGTCAGTTGTCAGGGACAGTTGTTTAAAAGCAGGTTGAAACTGAGTGGTCTTTTTTAAAAGTAGGGTGGGCCAGGTGTAGTGGCGCAGGTCTGTAATCTCAGTGACTCAGAGGGCTGAGGCAGGAGGATCTCAAGTTCAAGGTCAGCTTCACAACTTAGGGAGGCCCTAAGAAACTTAGAGCCTACCTAAAAATAAAAAAAATAATGGGGCTGGGGATGTGGCTGAAGCGGTAGCGTGCTCGCCTGGCATGTGTGCAGGCCTGGGTTCGATCTTCAGCACCACATACAAATAAACATGTTGTGTCCGCTGAAAACTAAAACATAAATATTTAAAAAATCTCTCTCTCTCTTACAAAAATAAAATAAAAAAATAAAAAGGGCTGAGGCTGTAGCTCAGTGGTTAAGCCCCTTGATTCAATCCCTAGTACCAATAAATAAATACCAACCTTTGTTATGAATATAAACTTAAGAAATTTAGGGTCCTATTATATATAAGGCTCTGAGTTCCATCTCTAGTA